CAACCTCTGTTTAACCTAATCCCCCATCCTGATTATGAGTTGCTCCCTGTGTGTACACTTCGCGATCAGTATACGTACTGAATAAACGTACTCCGTGCTACGCCTGACTTTCGAGTTGGAAGAAACTGCTATAGAGCTTTCTGAGAATGGTCAAGGTTATTGAGGTAGCGAATCCGCTACACATCTTCATGAATGAAGATTTGATGTAAAAAAGTAAGAAATCAATCAACAAGCACTGAATAAACACGAAATAAGTTACTGATAAATTTAAATAATTAAACACGAAAGTGAGAAAATTGCAGAGAATCACGCACCATGTTGAAATATGCAAATCGCGTTAAGTTATTAATGTTAGGAAAGCTAGATTCTTTATATAATGACTATATTGTCTATTTCTAATGGGTCTATTGATTTAGACATCTTGCATTACTCTGTAGGCACAGATTGAACTTTATTCAATTTATTTATATCAAATGGCAGGCGTTTTGAGAGTTATCATTAGCACTTTAGTTGACTTCAGGCTTGACAGAGGGAAGGAACAACAAAGTGAAAAAATCGAGAGTGAGGGGGAGGGACAGAAGAGTGTTACACAGATGTAAAAGAGACAGACAGATACAAAGGCAGAAAAAGAGGTAAGGTGAAATGAGTACTGTGAAAGTGGCTAAGGTAGAAAAAAGGCGAGGTGAGTACTGTGGAAGTGGTGAAATATGACATACAGTGGGGTGATGGTAGTTTGAAGTCAGAGGTATATGACATACAGTGGGGTGATGGTAGTTTGAAGTGAGAAATGGGGTGTAGGACATATAGGGGGGTCATGGTAGTTTGAAGTGAGAAGACAACTGCCGGAGTAGTCGAATTTGACATACAGTGGGGTGATTGTAGTTTGAAGTCATGTCAAATGCCGGTTAATAGACTTTTTTGCCGTATGAGAATGTAGGACATACAGTGGGGTGATGGTAGTTTGAAGTGAGAAGACAACTGCCGGTTAATAGACTTTTTTGCCGTATGACTATACGTTGCCCAGGGTGCATCACGTCGAGGTAAGTCTCAAATGCTGGGTATCATTTTGTTGCATGTACAAATTTAAAATGAGTTTAATATAACTTCCGTCAATCTTGACTCGACAGGCACATGCATACATTAAGACTACTTAGCACTCCAGTAATTATAAATTAAAAGAAAGTGGATTAACTAAAGATTCGAAAGACTTTTAATTCGATTAATGGAGATTTTAAAATTAATGGGAAACAATTGAAATGACTGTAAGCTTAAGATTGTGCCATTTGAAAGCATTCTAAGTTTAAAAAAATCAATTTTAAAGCGCCTTAAATGTTACATTTGCCGTCTTCGAGATCCTGCCATGTCTTCAATGTTGGTTTAAGGAAATGTGGGGACCAATGTTTTCCTCAAGGTAGTATTCTTTTTAAAACTACTCTGTACATACGAACTGAACTTTCTACATAATTATTTAATTTATTCATATTTTTTAAATGTATAAATAAGTATTTATATTGCAAGCGATTTTTATAAATCCAGTTAATAGAGATTTGTTCAAATAATTATTTGCAACGACAGAATGGAAAAAAATTCAGAATTCTTTCCGTTAAGTGGTCACTCCATGAATGAAATTTTTATGTCTATTTTATGATTTAAATTAACGATACTTTAATTTTGAAAATGCATAACTTCGCAGAATTTTATATCCCACAAATAAAGTATTGTCATAACTTCATGAATTTTGGGTCAAATTTGAGGAGGTGGAAGGGGGGGGGGTGAGGGGAAATCCTATATTGCTTCTTCGTAAAACTATATTTGAAAAATTAGAACGTAAACTAATTCCCAAATTGTAGCAATAAAGCTTGTATATAAGGCAACATCCAGGCGTATTCAATACGGCATCGCGTTACAGATTTTAGCCGAAAGCAGGGCACATCTATTGGCGTAATCTCGTGTGTGTCAGAGGGGTAAATAAGATTGTTTACATTCGTGGTACCTTTCACTTTACAAGTAGAACAAATCAAGCCACCACTATGTTTGCCATAGAATTAACTATTGTAAGTGTCCTTTCTGCAAATATTTCACTTTATTAGTTAATCTTTCTTCTTCGGGTAGGTATTATATCCTTCCAAATTAGATTTACCTTTAGATCGTATCCCCTCTGCCAATACAAGAAAGAGAAGAGGTAAATTATTATATTTGCTCAAATGTTTAATTGCGCCATCTATCTTATTACCTCTATATTCATATAACAAACCTTAAAATGAAAATGCCTTAATATATAGCCCTACATAGTGACTTGTAGCTTTGTTGAACTCAAAAACTAAACGGATATTCTATTTGAAAGGATGAAGTTCCAGCTTGTAGATGGATGAGCCAACTGCCAGAAAAAACCGCAAACATGTCTCTATGTCAAATTGCAATTCCTGGTAAGTAGGAGCGATAAAATACCCAGTTATACTCGAATGAATGAACTATCATTGAGTTTATCGATAATTTCCTATGTGATATGGCTTAACTATGCTATTGATAGAAACCATATGTAGTGCTAAAATTCACTGAGTACATAGGTTAGCCTAGTCTTAAACCCCTAACTGCTTAATTGGCGATATTTCAAAGTGGTTCCTTGAAGCCCATTGTAGAAGTCATCCTTTTAAAGAGAACTCATTAATTTGTTTGATTTCATCATATTTTAACAGTGGATAGTAGCCTGATAAAATGAAAGCAAAGAAACTGAAGAAAAAAATCAATGCACGAAAAAATATTCTAATTAAATAAGTTTCGAATTATCGTAAATGAGGAGTAAAGAAACCTATTGTATAAACGAAAATTGTTAAGTGCTCTTTTTGATCGATAACAGAGTTGAATAGTTTATGAATATTCACTCGGTGTTTCTCAAACACCTTGCCACTTCATTTCAAAATCGATGGTGTTAAGTTTAGCATGACGACATTCGTCCTTCATGAAAACCGCACTAACAAATGTCTCCATTGAGGTAGTCAGGACTACATACTCTATTGCGCATTTCCTTGATTTTGGGATTGCGTTTTCAAGAACCAACCATTAAAAAAGGTTTTATTGTGAACAGAGGCCAATTTTGTTAGATTATTTCTTTCACTTATCCAAATTCCCATTCTATACTTATCATTATAAAATAATTGTTTCAATTATGGCATTTTTAATAAATTAAAAAAATCTGAAATATTGTTTACTGATAAAGGTACTCACAATTCTGGCACATACAGTATCACAGAATCATCTGCGATTTCACCAGATATGAATTTGGAAATCTTGGCCACTGTGTTTAGTATCTTCTTCAACATTAAATTCGACAAATGGACTGTTACTCAAAGGACTAATCTGACTACCCAACTTCAATCCGGTATTCGCTATTTCGATTTCAGAGTTGCCTTTAAACGAGAAGGATGCAAGGGAATTCAGTCGAATGCGTCTATGGAAATCTATCCTTGTTTCTATATTGTTCATGGGCAATATGCGAATAGAGTCGACGTGGAATTGGAGGAAATAAAGAGTTACCTTCTTGATCACCCCAAAGAAGTTGTTATTATCGATTTCCAGCATTTCTACAAGTTTGACACTGCTGCCAATGCCGTATTCGTGGAAATGGTGGAGAAGGTACAAATCAATTGCTAACCAATCCAGATGTAGATATTTGGTGATACGTTGGAGCCTTACAGGTCCAAAATTCCATCGTTGACTGAACTGTGGTCACGTAAGAAGCAGATTATTGTAATAGGACATAAGAAAACTCTACCCACGGAAGAGGAAGGAGTATCCTTAATTTGGCCAAGGAGTAAAATCGCACAACCGTGGCCGAATATAAGGAACCCGAAAAGCCTAAAGAAATACTTGGGGAAATTCCATGAGTAAGTTATTACGCCCACTTCAAGTCAGCGAATTTAAAAAGATGGTGGGTCATTTCCTATTAAATAGCAACCATTACTTAAGTGTGTTGAACATGATTCAAAATGGCTCATCCTTTAAGATCGCCAAAGTGTAAAGCCAAGTGTTAGTGCAGTTGTACGAGATTAAATTGACGTTATTACTCTAATCTCTTCATGGCACAGTGAATCATAAGCCTAATCTCAATAAAAATCTTACAAATAACTTAAGAAATAAATAAAACAAGAGCCATTAAAAGTTCGCTTCATTCAGTCAATTTATTGTAATTTCACTTTTGCGTACATATTTTGGACCCATCAACTGCTCGCTTTCAAACAGATCCACCTTTGCCCTTTCCTTTCTCTAGTTCAACAGAAGTCTCGTACTTCTAATTTGTGAAAGCTTATTACGTATTTATTGACCCTTAACTTAATTATCTCCTTTATCTGAGATATCTCAGTGGGAAAGGGAAAGACATTTTGTTTAGAACTATTGCAATTGTGGCGCTTTTCAAATACAACGCATAAGATGGTTTTACCAACTTAGATAAACACTGTTAGAAAGTGCGTGATAAAGCAAGTAATATTGGTTTTTTTCTTAATTGAACTTTCTGCCAATGATACGTTATTCATTAAGAGAAAATTTAGTGAAACTTTTAAGTCTTTTCATATTTCAGAATCAGGATGAGCAAAACAGATTCAGACAGCTTTTTCGTATTTCAAGGAATACTATCACCAAATATGGAGTTCATCATGTCTCATCCATTTTCGAGTGTGGAAAAGTTAGCCAAGAAGGCAAATGTGGAGGTTGAAAAGTGGCTTGATGACTTGGAGTACCTTCGGGGAATTGTCATTACTGATTTCTCCATTTTGGGCTTCCCCAATTTCGCCCGAAGTGTCTTTTCTATGAACTGGTAGAACGCTTGCAGGTATTTATAAGAATCAATACTTTTTATTACTCAACAAGGCAAAAATAAAATAAAAATTGTTTGAAAAAATCTTTGCAAACTGACTTGTTCTTAAATGTGGGTGAGGCCATATCGTTACAACTGCCTAAAATCATGTCTGCTCTACTCATTACATAATTGATGAATTCGAAGTGTTGCCTTCTCCTAGACACCATTTAGTAATATCCCAACGTGTTCATTGCAACTTAGGAATTGCGAAAGCAGATTGACCTCTTTATCTTATTTGTTTGTTGGCGCTAAATGAGTAAATTGGGTGACGTAATATTGATTTTTTGCAAATCAAAATACTTCCCAGCTCAAACTTGTCATAAAAACTAAAATATAATAATAGAAACAACTTGACGATTCGATCTAAATGATTTGCAATATTAAATGGAGAGTGTAATCCTAAATGAAACCATCAAAATTCTCTAACACCTTTTCACACTACTTAAAATTGCAAGTAGCATATATCTTGCGTGGTCTCACATAAAAAACCCCTATGTATTGCAATAGTATTAACAGATTTATATTTCGAAGTCGAAATTTGAATGGTGGGCAGGAAATTTTGACTTCATGAGGAAGGATCGAATCGATATGAGCTTGAAGAGGCAAGAAATAGCGTTTTTAAGTCCCTGCCATAGAGCACCGTCAGTGGTAAGAAAATTTATCTGTGGAGGGGATGACATTGTAGAATACACCTTATGAGAAACCCAAACTTATTGCCCATGCTTTTGATAAGATTTAATCGTAGTGCGTAATCGATTCATGCCAAAGCCGAATCACTTATTACAAATTATCAATCTAAAATCTTTTCAAAAACACAGAAAAAGGCGCTAAACGACTCTGTTTCAAGATGGATTTCACAAATATCTAAATCATTCCCGTAAATTTTCGTTTACTATCCTGTTATAAATTAACTTACTGATAAGTTAACCGAAGTTTACTTACCTTTCAGTATAACAGGTAGAAATCAGAAAACCATACACCGATGAACCAACTAAGGCTCCCAAAGTCCAACCATCCGAATAATCGACCAAAAATTAGTATTATTAATTGGAACTTTCTGTTTGACCGCCCTGGGCGGCTTGTCGGAAAACCACGGTAATATTCAACGAAAATACTTGGCGCATTTATTTGGCTTTAGTGGAATGAAACAACCGTTGGACAGGTGCAAGCAAATTTGATATTCAATTTATCTCAAAACTAGAAAATAATCTAAATCAACACCCTTGACATGTGCTTGGCTTACAAATTTCTGAAGTGAAATTAAATGTAAGAAAGAAATAACAAATTAAATATTGAAAACATAAACCTTATTTGCTGTGGAGACAACGAGATTCGTTGTTTTTATTTGTGGAAATTTGGTCAATTTTATTGAACAGCATCATCTGCATTTTCTTGTTTTAAAATGCAGTTAAATTCTAAATTACTAAATTATCTTGTCTTATCTAAGCGATCAGTTCCTTTCTTTGCCTAGAGAGTAGTGCATTTTTGAATCGTCACAACAGAAATGAAATGAGATCTTTAACAAGATTGAATCAGACTAATTAGACAAAAAAACGTTAAACGCTAATTTCGAATGTTTTGTTTCCAACAATAGGGCAGATAAATAAATAATAAATAAAAATTCGAATAAATAGGTGGTTGGTAATGCATTCAATGTATAGAATTTGCAACCCTGAGATCAAAACACCTCTAGTTGAAGAGAAGGAAGTTTTGAAATGTCAGAACCACCCATTTCATTTTAATTAATTGATCAACAAAACCAAAAAAATCATCTCTACATACAATTGGCATTTAGGTCTAGAGTTTGGGCATGAAGTATTTAAAATACACTCAACTAGTATGAAGAGAACATCAAAAACTGTCATTTTGTAATGTGGGTTACTATTACTATTGCATATTATAAATGTAGCAAAAAATTCGAACAACCATATAATTGAAACATTATTTTAATGCATGTATTCAAAATTAAGATGCCGAAAAATTGCATTGTTAGTCGTATAAGTCATCGAGAATTAACTTCTTTTCTAGATCAGTGGGATTTGACCATAACTTCACTTCCTATTTCTTTTTGAATCGAGTAGCACAAAAGAAGTGTTATTGTAAGGAATATAAGGCACATCTATCACCTTGAAAGCTAAATTAACTTCGGTGAGGCCTTACTACGCGGGTTTCTCCATGAATCCGATGATTGAGCACTTTTAAACTTTGTATCTACAGCAGTTTAGACCTAAAATTTATTTTTTTTCTGTTGAGTTTAGACAAATCTGTGAAGTGCAAAATGCTACTAAGGTCAATCAGAGGTAACTCAATTGCACAATTGCTTCCGTACTAGTCAATCTTTGCCATTTAACCGAATAATTTTTGCATCTGAAGGTGAGGCAAATGTAATTGTTGTTCCTCATGGTGAAATAAGCCGTTCCGAATCCCTTCTGCCCTGTTTTCCCACTAATATTGTTGGATTGCCTATTAAAATGGTATCTGGTTTGTGGACGCCATAAGTTACACTGTGGAGGCAACAAATAGCTCTAAATGACTCTTCTGGAGGCTGCATAAATTTGTTAGTAGCTAATTAGAACTTCTAGTGGGTCTGTGGTCATAATGCTGTGTGTGGTAGGCACTACAACTGAACCAATCTACAACTTCTTCCATATTTCTCACTAATTAGTTCGCATGGCAACCATGTCACTGTAAGTGAACTCTACTCTTGAAACCGTGGCAAGAACATGCAGACTGCTTGAGATCATATGTGTATATTTCTGCGGTTCAGTGAACTTGGTAGACTTGTTCAGCGGCAGAAAGGTGGATCATCAAAATAATGTAAAGGCCAAATAACCACTATAGCAGTTGACGTCAACGATAATAATACCAATTTACCACATTACTGAGAGCAATAGGAATTGAAATGAGAAAGAAATCAAAGAAAAATTGCAAGATTTTCCCTTTCAAACACTTATAAATAGTGGCTGTCATAAAGATTTTACAGAAACTAAGTGATACAATTAAAAAATCTTGATATTTTAATGACGAACACTACATATTCAACAGAGTAGAATTTTTGGCATGAAGCGGTTTTTTGCTTATTTCATTTGAAAGTTTTCACTAAATTTAATGACAAAAATTTTCAAATAATAGGACTCATAGGTTGTCCTTTTTAATATTTTCAGATAACTAACTTCAATATTAAAATTCCACAAAATTATACCAAATGAGATTTCCAAAATGGAATCTACAGCCCAAATATCTTTGTGAATAATTATTAATAGCAGTTGAAGTTCAAAAAACAATAAATCTTTACAATTGTTGCTATATGCGAGTGAAGATATGAATTTCATGCTTCAATAATCTCCGTTTGACGTGTCTCCTTTTTGTCCTTAATAATTTACTTAGCTGACGCCTTACTCATATTGGCTGTTTGACCATATTTAAAGTGGCATATAATTTACACACATGTTTAACCTAATTGTGAATCAAGATGACAACCAACGTATTACCAAAGCCAATGATAAATCACAAGTTGTACAAACAACTTGTAGTGAACATCGGCTTAATAACCTTTGTAAGCACTTGTTATCTTTTACTCTAATAATTTCCCTATTTTAGTTTACCGGCCTCTTTATGATTGTGTACTTTTCCTTCAGACGAAATACTTCTGAAATGGCTGATAAATTACAACAATTTTGTTATTTTATAATTGCTTATGGTATTTTTGGAATAATCATGGCTTTGGTTGGATTTTACGCCTTCACCTTATCAAATATCCATGTCATAGGCATTGTAATTACCTCCATTTCTCTTACTTTTTCCTTCTAGTACCTAGGTTTGATTATCGGTACACTGCTTGGGCAAATTATGCTTGGAATCACGGTAATAATCCTTCTCGAGGATTTTCTAGTTGGTGTCGCATTTATTCTTCTTGGAGTCTTCGGTTTACCTGCGATTTCCAAATCGATGAACATTTTTAAGCCGGAGGAGGATGAGGAAGAAGTTTGAAGAAAATTGATTTTAATTATATGTAAATCCACATCAGTAAAATCTGACTAAATGCTGGTGACGGCCTATCAATGAAATTTTACGAAAATTGTTAATTTGAAGCTTTTAAATTTCAATTTTATGAGAAAAATGGTTTTACTTGGTTCAATTTTGTAGATGAATAAATTTGACGATTAATCTCTGTTCTTAAATTTCGACTGATTGTGTGAATTTCAAATTCACTTCGATAAAATTGCCAAGTTATGGCATAGTTTCTAAGTCTAGCATTCAAAAGCAAATATTGCAGAAAAAGCAATACGACAAAGGAATGGTAAAATAAATGCCTTTTTAAACACACATTTATCAAGATCCTCAATCCTTTGAAATATTTCAAATCTTGGTAAATCAAACTAACTGGAATTGATCAACCATTTACGTGAACTGTTATGTATGATACTGTTTAATTTAAGCTGATACGCTGAAAATGATAAATTGAATGTGACCTGGGCAATAAACGATTGATTACGAGCAGAAATGACAGTGGACTAATAAAATAAATAAATAAATGACTATATATATACATTTCGAGGGCATTGTTTTCTGAATTGGCAGTTGAGAAATTATAAGTGCCAAAATATACAGAATTAATAAAAATGCGATTGAAAGGCACTACTAAAGAGGTGTTTAAAATACATAAAAAGAGAATTTGGAACCCAAAGATCAAAGTGCTGTCTCGTGGAAGAGAAGCACGTTTCGAGGTGTCAGAAACAAAGTTACAGTTTAATTAATTGGTCAGCAAAACCAAAATAACTATAAAGGCAAATAGCGATCATTTTCTAGAGTTTGAGCATGACCCCTTCATAATATGCTCAAAATTGAAAAAGTGGACTTCAATATTAACTAGCAATCAGTAATGTGGGTCACTATTATTATCCCAGAGTAGTTCACGAACTTTTCCCAACTTTGGAAAATAACAGACACTGGTAGAGAGGA